CACACACACACACACACACAAAATGTGTTAACACTTCAGTTAACACTTAACTGAAAATTGAGTGTTTATTATTGCCATTTTGCATTATTGACACAATATTTTCCTAATAATGTTGTACAGTTGCTTTGACACAATCTGTATTGTTAAACGCGCTATATAAATAAAGGTGACTTGACTTGACTTTTGACACACACACACACACACACACTGGCATAACAGTATACTGTACAATGCACTATATGCATAATATAAGTACATATGTCACTGTGTCTGCGTGTAATTGTGACCAGTGATTCTAGTTAAAGTACATTAGAGTTATTTAGGTCTAGAAATAGAATAGAGGTCACAGGTAGACTGAACCATCATCATCCTATCACTGTACTCTCTCTCTCTCTCTCTCTCTCTCGCTCTCTCTCTCTCTCTCTCTCTCTCCTCTGTGTGATAAACACAAGCGGTGCTGCTCCACGCTAATCTAGCCTAGTCCAGGCTAGTTACTGGGTCTGTGTGTGTAAGTGTGCAATTGTGTTTTCAGTCAGATTTGGATAATTATTAATTGCTAAACGATACTGAAATTTTAGGAGATAAGAGATAATGATTAGAATAAATAAGAGACATTTTGTGCACATAAAGTCAATCAGTTGGTGTGCGGCATTGCTAGAGTGTAATGAACACACCTGCAGTGGTCTAGAATGACACACACACAGACACATTCACACATGTGACATTGATAGCCCTGAGTCTGTCCAGAGAGAAAGTCCCCTCTTTATTTCTCTGCCCCACCCCCTCTTTCTTTCTGCCTCTTTTTTTCTTTCCTGTTTTTTTTTCTGTGACAGTGCTGACAGCAGTTGCTTGGGTCACAATGGGCGTTTGTGAGGCGTAGACTGTACTGTGAGTGTGTGTGTGTGTCTTGATGGACTTTCAATGACTTACTGAGAGGTTTGCAGTAATTATGCTGGACGAAGCTTGGGAGCAGAGAACATGACAGTGCAAATCTGCTCTGCTTCTTTCTTCACTCTTTTCTTTTTCTCTCTCTATGGCTTCCTTTGTTGAATCACATTTCCCCTTTATTACATTTTTTTTTTTTTGTGAGAGAGAAAGGAGGAGTCAGAGGAAATGAGAGAGTGGAGGTTTGTCTGGCAATAATCTGTAATCAGATGCAAGAATTTAATATGTATCTGCACCACTCAATTACACACACACACACACACACACACACACACACACACAAAATGTGTTAACACTTCAGTTAACACTTAACTGAAAATTGAGTGTTTATTATTGCCATTTTGCATTATTGACACAATATTTTCCTAATAATGTTGTACAGTTGCTTTGACACAATCTGTATTGTTAAACGCGCTATATAAATAAAGGTGACTTGACTTGACTTTTGACACACACACACACACACTGGCATAACAGTATACTGTACAATGCACTATATGCATAATATAAGTACATATGTCACTGTGTCTGCGTGTAATTGTGACCAGTGATTCTAGTTAAAGTACATTAGAGTTATTTAGGTCTAGAAATAGAATAGAGGTCACAGGTAGACTGAACCATCATCATCCTATCTCTCTACTCTCTCTCTCTCTCTCTCTCTCTCGCTCTCTCTCTCTCTCTCTCTCTCTCCTCTGTGTGATAAACACAAGCGGTGCTGCTCCACGCTAATCTAGCCTAGTCCAGGCTAGTTACTGGGTCTGTGTGTGTAAGTGTGCAATTGTGTTTTCAGTCAGATTTGGATAATTATTAATTGCTAAACGATACTGAAATTTTAGGAGATAAGAGATAATGATTAGAATAAATAAGAGACATTTTGTGCACATAAAGTCAATCAGTTGGTGTGCGGCATTGCTAGAGTGTAATGAACACACCTGCAGTGGTCTAGAATGACACACACACAGACACATTCACACATGTGACATTGATAGCCCTGAGTCTGTCCAGAGAGAAAGTCCCCTCTTTATTTCTCTGCCCCACCCCCTCTTTCTTTCTGCCTCTTTTTTTCTTTCCTGTTTTTTTTTTCTGTGACAGTGCTGACAGCAGTTGCTTGGGTCACAATGGGCGTTTGTGAGGCGTAGACTGTACTGTGAGTGTGTGTGTGTGTCTTGATGGACTTTCAATGACTTACTGAGAGGTTTGCAGTAATTATGCTGGACGAAGCTTGGGAGCAGAGAACATGACAGTGCAAATCTGCTCTGCTTCTTTCTTCACTCTTTTCTTTTTCTCTCTCTATGGCTTCCTTTGTTGAATCACATTTCCCCTTTATTACATTTTTTTTTTTTTGTGAGAGAGAAAGGAGGAGTCAGAGGAAATGAGAGAGTGGAGGTTTGTCTGGCAATAATCTGTAATCAGATGCAAGAATTTAATATGTATCTGCACCACTCAATTAGTAAAGTGTTATCTCTAGTTTGTGGCCATGTGAGCACCAGTGTGTATGTGTGCATGCATTTACTGATTCACCTAGTTTTGTGTTTTGATGTGACATTTTAAAATATATTTTTTTATATATATTTACATATTTTATATTTGAATACATTTTTATTACACCATCGTTCAAAGGTTTGAGGTTGGTGAATTGTTTTAATGTTTTTGAAAGTCGTCTCTTATACTCACCAATAATTTTTTCAGGATTCTCTGAAAAATAGTTTAAAAGAACAACATTTATTTTAAATAGTTTTTTTTTGTAACAATGCCTTTACTGTGATTTTTGATCAATTTAATGCATCCTTGCTAAATAAAAGAATACATTTCTTTAAAAAGAAAAAAAAAATCTGGCCCTAAACTTTTGAACAGTAGTGTATTTAAATATTTTATAATAAAAAATACTTTTATTATATTAGTGAATATTTAATGAAAAAATATTATATGATATTTAATATATATTTATTATATAATATTATTGAGTGATAAAATATGGGAACAGTAATTTGCTCTATTGCTAAGTAGGGCTATAACACCTGAAGAATACTTTCTCATAACATTCCCATTCATAGCAATGCTGTTGTTTGGCTAGTGCAGGATCCTGTATCTAAAATCGTATGCTTGAAATCTGACATCTTTGTTCCAGGTCTTATTGAACCAGTCACCTGAGCGGTAAATGCCACAAGACTCCGTTCAAATATGTGTACTTTTTAGCTACAACGTTTGCAAAAAGTCATATCTTAATGAGTAAGCTGTCTGATATCTCAGTATTTATGTTCAATAGCTTGCATACTTGGCGTTCCCATAGGGTCATAGGATTTTGAGGACCTGTTCAAATGTAATGCTGATTGGGAAATTGCTGTCAAAAAACTTTTGAATGGTGAGAAAAGTGCTATTTGTGTCTAGATGTTTCTGCCAGAGGCTAACAAGGTCAAGCTAACTGTACCTTAAGCTTTAACCCTTGAATCACATTACTCAAACAGCATGACAACAGTACCACACTGTGGCCGTCTGATGTTACTGCATGTCAGTGACAGCAATATACAGTAGAGCAAGCATATCTAAATTTTGAATATTTATATTGAAATCACAAACTCCCTTCATCAGAGTGTGTAGTGTTTCCATCAAATGTAATTGCTGCACTGGCTTTAATGGTGATAGATAAGACCAGACTATCTAATTTACTGTAATTCCAAAATCTACAATTTCACCAGCATAACAGAGTGTAAGCATAACAATACCTGTAAGCATATTATTTCACAAGCTTACGCGTGCATGTTGCTTTGTTTACAGAGTGGGAGTGATGATCGCCTACGCAGCAAATCAGAACATCACAAATCAGATCAAGAGCACCAGACGCCTCGTCAGCACTAACATAAGAGACCTGAAATCTTTTGCAAACCACACACCAGTGGTAAGCCATAAACAGGTTCACATGGTGTGGTAAAATGTGTAAACAAATCTTAAATTAAGTAATGCACTAACAAATTTGCAGATTCTGTGTGGGCCTAATCTAAAGCATGGAGACACGCACACAAACATATTCACACACTAAAGCTAAATCTGTTTGTCTTTGTTCTTTTATTTTATAGCAAATAGACTACCTCTCTGCACAGTACACAACAGCCAAGAACAAAGTATTATCAGACTTAGACAGTAAGTACTTTCTTTCTCTTTTATGTATCAGTGTGAACATTCACAACGTTCAAAAGTTTGGGGTTGGTATGTACTTTTTAATGTTTTTGAGTCTTAAATGCTCACCAATAGGGGCGTGTGATATTGACAAAAATCTTGAAATTTCCTGGGGTTTTTTTCTATAAGGATAATTAATATTGTTCTTGTGCTGGTACTTGCCTGTCATGGATAAATAAATATGACACTAACCGCCGGTAGTCCCTGTCTTTATGCATGGATCATTGAATCATTGTCTCAAATGATTCATTCAAAAACATTCGACTTCTGATTCGACTTTGTCTGGAACTATTTTTGTTGGCAAAAATAAAAGGCAATATTGTGTCTAAAATGTCACCTACTCAATATTAACTTCTTGTTTGATGAACTGTTGTATAATATTAATATCTCATTGGCGATCATGCTCATGCGCTAATATTTAGAAAAACGGCAATGTGTGATATTACTTAACGATATAAATATAAAAACCCAAATCAGGGATATTTTTTGCGTGTGTAACTCAAATTAAATGGTCATTCTAACTGATTCATCACACAGTGATTGCTTTTGGTCCTTCAAGGTGTTTTGGTGTTCAAGAAACATTTCTTATTATTATCAGTGTTGACAGTTGCATATTATTACTATCAATGTTGCTGCCTAATATTTCTGATTCATTTTTTCAGGATTCTTGATGAATAGAATGTTTAAAATAACTTCTTTTGTAACAATGTCAATGTCTTTGATCAGTTCAATAAATTCTTGCTGAATAAAACTATTCAAAATTGTACTGACCCCAAACCTTTGAACATCATTGCACTTAATGTTGGAGCTGCATTTACTAATTTGTTCTTTTATTGTCAACGTGGTTTATCAGATATTGGGAATCTGCTGGGTGGACAGATTCATAATCAGCTGGAGAGAGAAGTGGTGCCTGCTTTAGACAACGCTCTTCGCATGACAGCAGGTGCATAACCAAACAAATACACACACTTATGGCTGAATTCACTAAAATGGTCTTACTTTTTAACATGTGGCATTTCAGTGCAATCCTGACTAACCTGAATAAAAAAAAAAGTTTAAAATAAGAAATTCACATTGTGAGATATAAACACTAGAAGTAAAACCGCAATCATTAGATATCAAATCACAATTACCAGAAACAAAGTCACAATTGTGAAATGTCACATTTTGAGGTATAAAGTCACAATTAAAGTCATACAGTTGAGGCTTGACTCATTTGAAATAATTAATTAATTACAAGATGCTTTAAGAACAAGTAAAAATAACATTACCTAATAATATACCAAACATACCTAATATAACTGATAAAATCAATAAAAATAAACAAAAGCAAAACAGAAATAAAATAAAATGCTTATTAAAAATACTTATTGAACCCATGACCTTGACGTTGCTACTATCATTCTCTGCTGTTTCAGCTACAGCAACACTGCAAAACACACACTCACATTGATATTATTCTCGTTAACGTGTTCCTTTCTGTTTCTGTTGCTTTTGATTATGGATAAAAGTTAAAGTGGAGGGTGCTATTAAAGGTAAAAGTCAGTGGTTTCACTCACGTGTTTTGTGAACGTAGAAATTGTGGTTGTTGTTCATCCTGTTGTTGTTTTAAGTATTGTTGATATCAGTCTTGTGCATCTTTATGTATTGCTGCCATATTTTTTTGCATTTCATCATATTTCTGCTTTATATGATGAAATGAGAACCTAAAAAGCTAAAGAAAAATCTGAATATAGGGAAAACACACATTTATATTAGAAAATGGCATATATATATATAAATGTTCTGGCCAGTATAACTGTTCTGTGATTGTGTATTTGCATGCGAGCGTGTTGTAATGAAGTTGTTGTGTGTGTGTACAGCCATGCGGGAGACCAAAGAGTCATTAGAGAGTGTGACCATTTCACTGGAGATCCTGCAGGAAGGGACGGGCAGACTCCAGATCTCTCTTCAGTCTGAACGCGCGTCTCTCTCAAGCACACTCAACGACCCGGCCTGCTCTAATGGAGACGTAACACACACCTGCAACACCATCCGCGGGACACTCAGCCAGCTCGCGCTCATCGCAAACTTTCACGGGGTAACACTCACACACACACACACACACTCACTCACTCACTCACTGAGGGTTACAAACGCAGAACAGTGGAGCCTCAGCCAAGGCCAGATAAACCACTAACCCTATATCAGCACCGCGCACACACACACACACACACACAAATACATTAATACACAAGGAGGAATGTGTTGAGAGACATGAGAAAACCATCGTCAGACCTTGTACTTGAGTCTTATCATGGACAGAAAGTCACACAGATGCTGCTGCGCCCTTGATTCACACACACACACACACACACACACACACACTCACACACACAAACCATATGTACTGTGCATGTGTGTGTATCAAGATATATAGGACAATGTCAATTATTAGGCAATACTTAAAGGTAAAATTTGTTTGTTTTGTTAGACAACAAAAAGAAACCCATACGTACAGTAGGAAGACCTGCGAATCTCATAAGAAACCCTTTTAGAAAAATGCTTTTATAGCATTTATTAATCTTAGTTATGTCAATTTCAGCATTTAATGCATTATTAAAATCAAAAGTTGCATCTGTTATTATTTAATGAACCAGAACTAACATGAACTAACAATGCACCGTTATATATTTATTATTTAACGATAGATTATTTAATACTGTAAGAAAATTGTTGCTCCTTGTTAGTTAATGTGTTGCCATGTTAACTTCTAACCCTATACCTGAGTTTTAAATTCAGTGATTTGTAAAATTAATATGGATATCTTTCAGTGTATCACTTTGCTGATTTTAGAAAGGATATATTGAAAGATCAACCCATTCACCATGAAATCAAAATTCTTATTTATGGAATATTGCAGTTTTTATTATAAAAGATTCATCCGTGCACATTATTATTTTTAAAAATTAATCTAACCTCATAGTCTTTAATCAAAAACATTAACATCCTCACATTCCCAGTGGACAGAATCATGTCCATAACCTAAACTTTTTTTGTTCAAGAAGGCATTTCACTCAGATGTACATTATAATAGGAAAGAAAAAGTTAATTGCAATTTCTGGTTCATGCCGAATTTAAAATCCAGTCAGCTTTAGTTAGTAGTAGCAACAGCCATGATCCATGATTGGCTACTTGCTTATCTGTGTAGTGCAGGGTGAGTTTTTATATTCCTGGAAGAGAAACACGGTACATTTTAGCCTAAAGGTTCAATTAGTTAGCATATAGATTGTTTTAAACTGAACAGACATGGATCTAAAAGGGCTCTTTAAGAAGCTGAAATGTGTGGAAGCACAATATGTTGGTCTGTGTGCTTTAACTGTAACTCCTGTGTTTCATCCAACAGTTGCCTGATGTTGAGGCACCTTTGGCCAGTCTGGATGCTGTGCTTAAAACAGACCTCAGCAATATCATACAGAAAGTCGGATGGGTCTCTCTTTATCACGCAGCCACTATAAGTCTCCTGTTATGTACTGTGACAGTTCTTCACCAGCTTTTCTTTTTGTTGATCTCTTCAGGGCTACTCTTCTTTTAACGACACACCAAGGTTGGTCAGAGAACAGACAAAAGAAATTTTGTCGGGTGAGGGCATTTTTATTCATCTATCTAGCTTTGTCCCAAAACTCGGTGTGCTGCCTTGCTGTCTACATAGGGAATGTTGCTTATGATGCCTTAATGTGCTGCCTTCATAAACTCGTTCATCTCGAGCATCAGCTTTCTCTGTTCTCTCTCTAAATGCTAACCTCATTTGTTCTCTGAAATGAAAGAAATCACAATATTTTTCTGTTATTGTTCTCATATCTGTCCCTCTGCATGCGGGAACCCACCTGTCTCTCGTTAAAAATGAAGCTTTACCCAGTAAGTGTTCCTCAAGTGCTGTGTTTCTTCAACATTAGGCTAATCCTCACTGAGATGTTTTAGTGCCAGACATGATGCTCATTTCATGGGAATATTGGGAGATCTATCAAAACAAATATATTTCTCTCTTGATTTACATATTTATATGTCATCCTCATTTTCACATACACATATTCAGTTCATCTTTCTCTTTTTCTGTCTGTTGAAGAAGTGAAAGGGCTGCTGGATAAGTCTGGTGGAGAGATAGTTGCTTTCACAAAGATGTTCCCGGTTGAACCAGCACTTGAGAACTTCACAAAGTTCCTGACAGAGAGCCAGAAGAACATTGAAGCGTACTATCCACAGATCGACCAGCTGGACTTCTACAGGTACTTCTGTAACGCTTACTGATGCGCCAGTGCCACATGCATACTTAAGAGAAATCCAGCTGTCACTCTTATGGAAGTGACAACCACATTCTGCAACAGAATTCAAGAAAACACTTTAGATTAGGGAACACATTCACTATTAACTACGACTTTTTCCTCAATAAACTCCTAATTTGCTGCTTATTAATAGTTAGTAAGGTAGTTGTTAAGTTAAGGATTAAGTGATCTAAAATATGCTCATGCAGAATAAGGCATTAATATGTGCTTTATAGGTATTAATAAACAGCCAGTATGCTAGTAATATGTGACCCTGGAGCACAAAACCAGTCTTAAGTCGCTGGGGTATATTTGTAGCAATAGCCAAAAATACAGTGTATGGGTCAAAATGATCGATTTTTCTTTTATGCCTAAAATCATTAGGATATTAAGTAAAGATCATGTTCCATGAAGATATTTAGTAAATGTCCTACCATAAATATATCAAAACTTAATTTTTGATTGGTAATATGCATTGCTAAGAACTTCATTTGGACGACTTTAAAGATTTTCTCAGTATTTTGATTTTTTTGCACCCCCAGATTCCAGATTTTCAAATAGTTATATCTCGACCAAATATTGTCCTATCCTAACAAACCATACATCAATGAAAGCTTATTTATTATACAGCTTTCGGATGGTGTATAAATCTCAATTTCGAGAAATTGACCCTTATGACTGGTTTTGTGCTCCATGGTCACATATGCATGCTAATAAGCAACTAGTTAATAGTGTTTCCTGATCTAAAGTAGTGACAACTGCATTTACATGAAATGCTAAAGATGTGTTCAGAACCAAAATTAACTAGTTATAAATTACATATTTAAAAGAGCAAAATATTCCTTTATACACCACTATTCAAAAGATTTTTGAATGTTTTTGGAAGAAATCTGATATGCTCACCCCTGCTGCATTTATTTGGTCAAAAGCACAGTAAAAATATTGTGAAATATGCTCTAATATGCTGATTGTGCTCAAGAAACATTTATTATTAGTATCAATGTTGAAAGAAATGTTGCTGTTTGTTTTGGTGAAAACCGTGATTTTTCAGTTTTCAGGATTCTTTGTTGAATAGAAAGTTCAAAAGAACAGTGTTTGTGTGAAATAGAAATGTCGCTGCTATCACTTTTGATCAATTTAATGTGTCCTTAGTGAATAAAATGATTAATTTCTGTAAACAAAATAATCTGACAACAAACTAAATATTTGTAGACAAATGCAGTGTACACTTTCACTCAGTGTGTCTTTATCTCTGTGTTTGTGTCTCTAGATGGATTGGATGTGTGGTGATTTGTTGTATGGTCGTGCTGGTTCTGACCTTTAATTTCCTGGGTCTGTTGTGTGGATCATGTGGTTATGATAAAAATGCCACACCCACCACACGTGGCTGTCTGTCCAACACCGGAGGAAACCTACTGATGGCGTGAGTTATCAGGACAACACCAAAACAACATACACACACACTGCCTGGCCAAAAAAAAAAAGTTGCAATTTGGATTTAAATAAGCAGATACTTGAGATTGTAGGACTGGATCATTACTGCAGTGATTAATATGTTTCTGGCATGTAGTATGTTTAGCAGTGATTCTTTTAACCCTAACTGATGCAGTGCGTAGCTTTTTATTTCTCACACAACCATGTGGGAAGATGTGTATATTTCAGAATGACAATGCCAAGATTCATTGGACCCAAACTGTGAGATAGAGGTTCAGTGAGCATGAGGAATCATTTTCATGTATGAATTGTCACCACAGAGTCCTGAGCTTAATTGAAAGTCTTTAGGATGTGCTGGAGTCAACTTTACAGAGTCAATGCAAGATCTCGGCCAAAAATTAATGCAACTCTTGATGGAAATTAATGCTGTGATGTTGCATGATGTTGTTGAAACATTGCCACAATGAATGCACGATATAAGGCTGTCCAATAAAATTTTATAATATATATATATATTTTGGCCAGGCAAAGACTTTCAGTGGGATTAATGTCAGGACTCTGTAGTGGCCAATCTCTCACAATTTGAGCCTGCTGGATTTTTGTATTGTCATTCTGGAATATGGTCTTCCCACATGGTTGTTTGAGAAATGAAGCGACACAAACCTACAACATGCCAGAAACATATTAATCAATCCAATAATGATTCAGTCCTAAAATCTTACATATTTGCTTATTTAAATCCAGATGGTGACTTTCTTTTTTTTTTGGCCAGGCAGTGTATATACAATAACACTTAAGTTTCAAAACATTTTAAAGTGCATAAAAAATAGATTTGATGATAGCTAAAAGTTAGATACTAACATTCTTTTTCATTTTTTTTTGGGTTTGTTGGTGATCAGTTCTGTTGGCTTCAGCTTCATCTTCTCCTGGGTGCTCATGGGAGTTGTAGTCACCTCATTTATTTTTGGGGGAAACGTAGAGAAGCTTGTTTGCGAGCCGCTGGCTAACAGACAGATTCTTAAGGTACTAGTACACTACTCTATGATAAGAAACAACAGCAGAACTAGTTGATTTTATGTTTAATAATACATAACAGCTTATGTTTATAAACAAAAATAAAACTCTACATAAGTAAATCAGCTATCTTGGGTCACATCTTGTAAGTGCAAACACTGTGTAGTTTTTGGAAGGGAGAAAAGAAACAGACAGTATAATCTTACATAACTCACACAACACTGGAGCCCTTGTATTTATGCTAAACTGTGGTTAAGCTAGGAGTGTGTGTGTGTGTGTGTGTGTGTGTGTGTGTGTGTGTGTGTGCTTGAGCAAAAGTTTAAAAAAGGGGGTTGGAAATTCTTAAGTAAATCTGGGTTAGTTTCAGATCATACACATAGTAAAGCATTTACACACAAACACTTCTATACAGGACCTCGAACACATTTAGCCCCGTGGCCTATGGTTTGTATGTGAATTTAATATCTTTAATATTAAATTAACAGTTCTTTATTGGAGGTCCACAGAATAAGGAAAGTCATACAAGTTTGAAACAACTGATGTAAATCGTGACAGAATTATCATTTAAAATTTTTATGATTAGCATATGGAAAATAGACTTTTTTTGACAAATAAATAGATTTTTTTAATGCTGTTCAGATAATCGACACACCATATATGGTCCATCCTACCAAAAAGAACTTCCTTCCTGGCATGCTGTTTCAAGATCCAAACATCGACCTTACTATCGGCAGTATGTACAGGTAAGTGTGTGAGCAAAGATCAGTGCTGAAAGTCAATTACAAGTAGTTGATCTTAAAGAGATGCTGTAGTTATTCTGTCATCACTTCCTCATACTCATGTCCTTCCAAACCCATAGGACTTTCCTTGATCTTTAGCATACAAATGAAGATATTTATAATGAAACCTGAGAGATTTCTGTTCCTCCATTGAAAGTCCATTCCACTTCAGAAAGTTTATAAAGACGATGTAAATGCAATCCAAATGAATCGAGTGATCCATGAACCAAGTCTTCTGTTTTAGTTGCATGGACTTTAAATGGAGGGACAGAAATCTGTCAGGTTTCATTATAAAGGGAACTTCAGGTTTCATTTGTGTTATGAAGATAAACTAAAGTCTTATCTTATGGGTGTGGAATGACATGAGGGTGAGTAATTAATGACAACATTTTTGTTTTTGAGTGAAATACCCCTTTAATGATTTATTAGACACACTATTTGCTCACTATTTGCTTCTCTCTTTTTCTCTTACTCAGAGATTGTTATGAGAATAATGGTTTATATTCAGCACTACAACTGGAGACCAAGTTCAACTTCAACAAGTTTCTCAATGCCACAGTGGTGCGTGAAGAGATTTAAGAAAGACAAAAAGCAAAAAACGTTGTGTTTATATCTACAGACTGAACACGACATCAGTTCTTTAACCACGTGTTTGTGATTTCTCAACAGTATAACCTGGAACTGACCAAGATATTTAATAGTGTGAATGTGGATCTCCAGGGGATGCTGCTTCTGGAACAGGAGGGCAAAGATAACCTCATTGACTTTGCTAACACAGGCATTGGAGAAATCGACTATCAGGCTTATCTAACTGAGGTAACCAACACACTCTCGTTCACACTTACAGGCACAACAACACAAGACATTTTAATGAGAATTATTTGATTGATAGGTGAATAAAGAAGTGACAGTTGTGGATCTTTTGTCCTACGCAAATGGACTTGAAGCTCAAGCAGACCAGCTGGTGAGTCAAAGACAAATTAATCACTTTCAATTGGTAATAATTACAGTCTACTAATGACTCTTTTATGATATGTGAAGATATTAGCAGTTCATTAGGTTAGATATTATTTACTGTATGTATCAAACTGCCAGTCTCTGGAACATTTGGAATCTTTTTATGAAGAGTGTAGCGGGACACAAGCACTGCATTCATGAGGGGAAAACGCTCAGCTACAGGATGTGTGCAGCTCAATGTGTGCATGTGCTTATGGGGATATGACTGAGAGTCTTTTACTGGGTCTTTTTGACATGAAATGTTGGTCTGAGACATGAGCCTGTTTGTTAATAGTTAATATTGTTTATCATTAAGTTTGATAGTTTATCAAAATTAAGTCAAATTCTACCTGTATTACAGGAGAAGGATATTTAATTCTTGTTCTAGATGTTAAATCTTAAAATATAAAAATTTATTATAAAATTTGTTAACACTATTTTAAGGACCAATTCTCACTATTAACTACAGTAGTTGTTTATTAGCTTGCATATGACTATTGGCTGTTATTAGTACTTATAAAGCACATATTAATGCCTTATTCTGCATGATCATATTTTAGATCCTTTAATCCTTAACTTAACAACTACCTTACTAACTATTAATAAGCAGCAAAGTAGGAGTTTATTGAGGCAAAAGTCACAGTTAATAATTAGTTAATAGTGAGAATTGAACCTTAAAATAAAGTGTGATGTAAAATTTTTAAAACTTTAATCTATAGTCTAAACAAAGAATGAATAAACAAACTATTTCAATATTTATTACATTAAATGTTTATATCCATTTACAGAAATTACAGCTGCTACAGTTGTAACACCATTTCCAACAATATCGCACTGATTAAACAATGTTTAATTGTATTTGTTTAGGCTAAATACAATTTCAGCTCTGAAATCAGCCTTAGATTATTGCAGCTTGCATTTTATTCCAAAAATGTTTCCAAAAAAAAATAAAAAATAAAATAAATACAAAAGTGACCGTTCTTAATTCTTGTGATGCATAAACGTCCACTTCTGAATTTGTTATTGGACAAATTAAATAAAGTAGTGATCTCTTTTTTTTTTTTTTTTGTGGAAGGACAATTCTATACTTTTTCATTCTATTTCTCTCTCTCAATCTCTTTTTTAGCCACGTGGGGCTCTTGAGAATGCCCTCAAGGGTCATGCCAGCAGTATCAGACAGATCCACAAAGAACAAGTGGTGCCAATGGAACAGGCCATGGTAAAACACACACACACACACATGTTGTGTTTCCATGTTTTATGGGGACATTCCATAGGCGTAATGGTTTTTATACTGTACAAACTGTATGTGCTATTGCCCTACACCAACCCTAACCCTAAACCTACCCCTTACAGGAAACTTTGTGCATTTTTACTTTCTCAAAAAAACTCATTCTGTATGATTTATAAGCTTGTTTCCTCATGGGGACCTCAAAAATGTCCCCACAAGGTCAAAATTTACTAGTATTACTATCCTTGTGGGGACATTTGGTCCCCATAACGTGATAAATACCAGGTACACACACACTCTCACACACACACACACTAACACACTTACACACACACACACACACATGTCTGGTTTGCTATCCTTGTGGGGACTCTCCATAGGCGTAATGGTTTTTCTACTGTACAGACCGTATTTTCTATTGCCCTACACCAACCCTACCCCAAATCCTACCCCTCACAGGAAACTTTCTGCATTTTTGAGCAACCTTTTATTTCTCTCTCTCACACACACACACACACACACACACACACACACACACACACACACACAGAGCATTCCATAGACTTCTGTTTTTATATACAGCTACTTATAAACACTATATCCTAAATATAAAAATATCCTAAATACATTTTTGATGATGTCCCCAAAAGGAGGTTTTATAAGATTTTGTTAATTTCTGGGTTCAAATTTGTTCCTAAAATATGGTCAAGTACCGTATGTGCGCAAACAAACACACACAAACTGGCATATATGGTTTACAGGGATCCTTCATAGGCATAATTATTTTTATACTGAACTAATCATGTTTACTATCCCCTAACTCGACCCATAAATATAACCCTCACTGAAAACCTTTGTCATTTTTAGTATGTTTTCAAGTCGTTTGGTTTATGAGGACAAAGGAAATTTTATTTATTTATTCTTTATTCTTTTCTTTTAATGGAACCCAAAGAAATTTGTGAAAGCAAGGGTAAGCCAACAGTTGGTATTGTGACGTGATAATCCAAAAGTGAATGTACTTCTTAGTAAATGTGGACAGCTTTAGTTCAGATGTGTTCTGTAAATGTTTGTGCTTGCATGTTTGTGTAAGTGCTCTTTTGGCTCATTGTGTTTGTGCTGGGATTTTTCAGCGACTAATTCATTATCTGTAATAATGACTTAGGAAATGGGTTCGAAAGAGCACACTTGAGCCTGACGTACTGAAAAGATTGAAAAGAATTTGAATCAGAGACACCAGTGACTCACCAAATTGTAAGTGATTTATATAGTATTTTATATTTATTTAAATAAAACGTATGGGTTTTTTCTTGTAGGGCACTCTAAGTCAAAGCATCAAACTGCTTCAGAAAACATCCAGAGAACTACCTGTAAGTCCAGTAAATACACACAACTTTATTTCAATCTTTCTATATAATTAATGCCACTTGGTTTTGGTATTTATATAATGCAGTGACCTTTATACATCGTTAATAGTGGATAAGGTGTCCAAATAGAGTTGTAATTAGAACTAAACTAAATATGTGAATAATTATTTAATATTTATCACATTTTTCCTCTAGATTAAAGTGACAAATGTTTTGAATGCCATTGAAGCAGCAGAGTACCTCATCGCCAACAATGCTTCACATGTGGTCAAACAGGTACAAATATTTATATTTAATTTATTAATCTATCACTTTATTCATTTACTAATTAGTAATCTTGATTACTAATTAGTAAATTAATAATTGTTTAATTTGCTCATTGTCAGTAGATCAGCCACAGAACTTTCCACTCCCATCAGCGCTTTTATGAGATTGTGCTCTCACACTAATTTGCCCTGTTTAGTAAATCTGACCCTAAAACTTGATTTTAAAGAACATATCTTGAATTGTTTAAGAATAATCCACAAGAGATAAGAAACACACACAAATAAGTAATGTGGTAAGAAAAATCATCTTAATTCAGGACAAATTCTCTGAAAATATATCTTATCTTACACAATTTTGTTTCTCAGTGAAAATTTATCTTGTTTTAAAGATGTTTGTTTTATTACGGGACAAAGAAAAAACTGTATATTTTAATAGGTCAGTTATTAATGCTCTGTATGTATGTTTTACTTATTTTTTTAACAATTTTTGTTTTGTTAACATGTCACAGGAGGCTGATCAATTCATTAAGAAACTTGTGGGATATTTTTCACAATATACGGATTGGGTCAAGCACTCTGTGAGTATGCTAAGATAAGAAAAGTCCAGCATTTTCTTAAAGAACAGCACTTTGTCATGTAACACTGCAACTAAATCAGTTTTACTCATGTGCGCCTCTGTATGCACAGCTGGAAATGGAGGTCGCCCAGTGCAAGCCCATCAGCAACATCATTGACTCGCTGGAGATCGTAGGCTGCAGCTTCGTTGTTGACTCAGTGGTAAGATATACAAAACCACTGTAACACATACAAGAACACACACTCACGAGACAGACTGGATATACCCATGAACACGTGCAGCATATGCACGTCCCCCGACACACACACACACACACACACACAGACACACACACACACACACACACACACACGCGCGCACACACACACACTCACTCTCACTCTCACAGAACAAGATTGTCAGTGTTCACACTCTGAGAATGTTATTGCAGTATAAATGCTTGTGTGTGTGAACTGGAACCATGACCTTACAGAAATAAACACTCCAGAGGCGAACACACACTCACTTTAACAGAGCTATGTTCTGTAATTGGGGATTTCCCAAGCTCTGGCTTCTGGGACAGTTCACCCAGAAATTTAAATTCTGTCATCATTTACTCACCCTCAGTTTGTTCCAAACCCATATGATTTTCTTTTTTTGATTGAAGACACGAGGAAATGTTAGACAGGAAGTTCACAATACTCTTTTAGACACTTGAATATAAGGCATTAGTCAAATAGACTACTTTTATGGTGCATGATACATTTTTTTATCATTATTTGATGAATAGGAAGTTCAAAAGAACAGCATTTATTTAATATAAAACATTTTGTAACATTACAAATGTCCTTTTTGTCACCTTTGATAAATGTAATGCATTCTTGTTGAATAAAAGTATTATTGTTAAAGTATTATTAACTTTTGAATGGTAGTGAATGTACTGTCATAGGTTCATTTTTTTATATGTTAAACTAAAACATATGCAAAAACGTTCATATATGTGTTCATAAATGCCCATATATAAGATTAAGAAAATTCTTTATATTATTGTGTGTGTGTGTGTGTGTGTGTGTGTGTGTGTGTGTGGGTG